AGCCAGCTCATGCTGGCTGGGGAATTCTGGGGGTTGAAGTCCACACGTCTTCAAGTTGCCAAGGCTGAGAAACCCTGAACCAGAGAGTAACAAAACACCAATTAATACACAATACATCTACAGGATATGCTGCTTTTATTCCAGTTGAGTTAAAAAGGGAGACTGATATTCAAGTTTTCTTACCTCCAGACATCGTTCAGCTCAGTTGGAACCAGTTCTCCAGATTCGGTCTCTACGGTGGCAAAACCGCCAATTAAATAGAGCGTGCCAGCGAGGCTGATGAGGCTGACGGAGCTGCGTTCTTGGGGGAATTCAGTAAAGGCTTCCCATCTATCGAGGTGCAAAAGAGAAACCAGGCCCATGTGGAAAAAAAATAAAGACTTCTCCGCAGGCCAGGAGCCTCAAACCCAAATCATTATGAAGGCTCATAGGGACTAGTTCCTTAGCCTGCGGGCAACAACGTTCAAGCCCTCTCATCTATTGGCACAAAACTCTCTAGTGAATTAAAAATGGGAAACGTGTTATGGCATATCATTATGCATTTATTCCTGTAGTGTAGAGAATTCTCCAGAAGACCCTGTTCTGTGGAAATTAGCTAGTGATTGTGAAACGTGTCCTTTCGGATCAAAGGTTCCCCTGGATCAGTGTTTCTCAGTCTCAGCAACTTTAAGATGGGTGGGCTTCGACTCCCAGAATTCCCCAGTCAGCTCAGCAACTTTAAGATGGGTGGGCTTCGACTCCCAGAATTCCCCAGTCAGCTGGCTGGGGAATTCTGGGAGCTGAAGTCCATACATCTTAAAGTTGCTGAGATTGAGAAACACTGACCTGGATGAACCTAAATCCTCCCATTGGGAGGGGAAACTGGCTGATTCCAAGCATTAACATCTCTGGCACGCATCTGTATGTGTTAGAGGAGTAATTATAAATAGTGATTGCAAGCCAGAAGGAAGGCTTGGGGTCACATTTACTTAGCTCTGTTAACCTATAGAATCCGACTCCAACATATGGGATATTGGGACTCATCCCAGCTCCCTTGTGACCATCTGACCCAGAGCCGTCCCTCTGCAAGAGAATTTCGAGTTCTTCTTCCTCGCCAACAGATGGGCCAAAGAACTTCAAACAAAATTACTTCTTTTCCTCTCCTTGAAGCCTGACGCAACTTTGGAATCTCTTAAGCTAGATGGGAATCCCCTTTTGCAGAAGAAAGCATGCTCCGGGAGTCGGGCGGTGTCAAAACTTCCTCAGTTAATAAATACATTCTAATCACTCTTCTCTTGAGGAAGCGCCCAGCAGAGAGTGCCAGAGCGCCATTTAGGGCACATGTCATGCTGTTAACCCTTTTTGCCACAGGGTGCAAGAGCTTCCTTTTGATTGTTAATTAATTAAATTAATTAATTAAATAAATAATTAAATAATAAATTGATTTAATTAGTTTAATTTTTAATGCAATTGCATTAAAAAAAAGTTGCAAATCTATTCCCCGCCCCTCCAGTGCAACGTTGCACAACGTGCAGGAAAGGTGGCACTTACTTATCAGTTGCAAGATCATAAACTTCCACCGAGTTGGTCAAACCAGAATCGGTCACTCCTGCAGCCACGTAAATTTTGCCATTGTGGACAGTTGTGCCAAAGAGAGAACGGGCATTTTTCATCGGCGACAGTTCCTTCCACTCAAACTTCTTTGGGTTGTACACCATCAGAGCGTTCAGACATTTTCTGCAGCGGAGGGGAGAGATGAAATAAGGTTGTAATGGATGAAATAAATTCTGTGCTGGACCTGCCCAGTTCCAAAAGTTAAGGCTGGTCCAAAGCTTCTAGCTTTCCTTTAGGTCAATGTTTCTCAACCTTGGCAGCTTGAAGATATGTGGACTTCAACTCCCAGAATTCCCCAGCCAGCCAATTTTAATTACATTGGATGGGAGAAGTTGAGAGCTGCAATGGGCCGAGGAATGAAATCATGAAGCTATACTATTGGGGTGATCGTTTAACTAAGCTTCACATGGCTTACTGATCAATTTTACTTGCCACCCAAATCTGTGGGAAATTGCATTTTTTTTTCAGCAGGACAGTGCAAATGTTGGTGTGTTTGGGGCTTCCAATACAGGATTTGGAAATCCAGGTCATGTATGATCTATAGGTAACTGAGCTCTAAACTAAGACCCAAATGATGGATTGAGGATAACCATTTCCATTGCAGGATGATTGACATGCTTAGATGAGGCAACACTCAAATGCTTCTGGGTGGCTGGCATGCTCAGCCTCCTCCCAGCAATCTGGCATCTCTAAATGGGGTACTCAATTATATTTTGGACATACTATGTGATGACCGAGTTCTCTGGAATATAATGCTGAGAAAAGTGGAAGGAAAGAGAAGAGGATGATCAGCAGCAAGGGGGATGGACTCAGTTACAGTGGTCATGGAGCATTGTTGGGACACCTGAAGGACCAGATTGGGGATGAATACTCCTGGAGAAAATCTGTCTATGTGGCTGCTAAGAATTGACACTGAGTTGGTGGCATTTAATCAATCAGTGCAAAAACCCAGATGCCTTTGAAAAGTCCATAATGCTGGGAAAGGTGGAAGGAAGGAGAAGGAGAGGACAATGAGCAGCAAGGGGGATGGATTCAATTACAGCAAAGATAAGTACACCATTAGAAGATCTGAAGGACCAGGTTGGGGCCAGATCCTCCTGGAGAAGGTCTATCTATGTGGTTGCTAAGAGTTGACACTGACTCCATGGCATCTAATCAATCAATCAATCAATCCATCAGATGGGGTAGCCAGACTCCTTGATTCTAATAGCAGTTCTGCCTCTCTTCTGTCCCTCTCAAAGAGGGATGATCGTCTATCAACTTGGCCTCTTGAGAGATTGGATTTCAACTTCCAGGATTCTCACCAACAGCGGCACCCACAGCAGAAGTCAAACAAGGGCAAGATGGTGGTCACAACATCCCACTGTGCACATACAAAAGGCTTTGATCATGTCCCACCACCACCCATTTACCTTTTTTGACCCCCATCCCCCATGGCGGCGGCTGCTGCTGCTGCTATAGATTGTGGGGGTTGAATTCAACACATCTGGAAAGTTGATCATAATCTGTGCTGTCCACACCCCTATTTCTTTTCACTTACCCTGCCCCTGCTGAGAGTCACAAATTTACAAAGATGTCCCAAAGCAACAGGCCCAGAACTTACCTGTCATTGCCTTTGCCTCCTATGGTGTAGATAAGGTCATTGTGAGACACCACACCATGACCGTAGACAGCATACGGGAGGGCGTCTGCTTCCCCCCATTTAAAGGACCTGAAGGAGAGAAGAGAAGTTGGATTTGGGAGGTGGCATTCACAGCCCCCCTCTCCTGCTCCCCTTTTACTGGGGGACACAGCAAACCCACAGTTTTTGCAGCCCTTCTGTGCATCACACCCACACCATGCATTTTCCTGCCATACTGCAACCATCTTTGTTACAGTCAACAAAATGACGGTTGACATTTCTCGAAGATTGTCTTCCAATTCTGGGTGGCAAAACTATCCATACGCCCCTGAATTTCAGGTATGGTTTGAAAGTTTTTAACAGCGTGAGAATAATTATTCTACCTTCCTTAGATTCCTTCATTTTCAAAGTCCCCCTGTTCTCCTTCACACCATGTTCTTCTCTGCATGGCTGCACTAAACCAGGCCATTTAATTACAAACCAGGTTCTATATCAATCATGGTTTACTTTTTTTTTTCCAGAAAGGACCCTTTAAAACAACCAGCTTTTCCTCTGCCTAACTCTTTGCCATTTTATTATTAGAACATTGCACAGGTTTTCTGATTAAGTCTGTATCTATTATGATACCACCATGCTCAGGAATGGCCACGTTTATGAGTCTACAAAGTTTATTAAAGCAGCATTTGCTCTTTGTGGCTAATAATTGAACTAGAGCTCTGTCAACTCATTAATTTTTGGTTAGCAGCCAACAGCAAGGCCCTTCAGCATTGCTCCTCTACCTTCTAGCCAAAACAAACATCCCTCTGCATCATTAGAAGAATAAAATTGGTGGCATTGGGCGAGCACCAAGGTGCTCTGCCCCTTCTAGCATTGTCCCCCTTTATCAATCCAGCCACAACCAACTGCTTCCTCTTGAAATAAGGGGCTGGCTAGCTTTTCCCTTCCATCAGCATGGATTTATTTAGTTTTTTTTTATTTATAGGGCTTACAGACCACTCCAGTCAGCCAATTCTGAGTAACATGCCATTCCCCAGATCAGTGTTTCTCAACCTTGGCAACTTTAAGATGTGTGGACTTCAACTTGCAGAATTCCCCAGCCACCATGCTTTAAGATGCTTGGACTTCAACTCCCAGAATCCCCCAGCCAGCATGCTTTAAGATGCGTGGACTTCAACTC